TCTGTTTGAATCAAGAGCCTTTAAGGCTGCTTGGATATCTTAGAGAATTAGGATGGTTTGTTTTTTGTACTTCCTTCTTAAATTCTCTCGTACAAACAATTCGATTTTCATGTATTTCAGCCTGAAATACAGTGATATGTTTTCCCAGAGACGATGATGTTGCATTTGGGTTTAACTCCATGTACGACAAAGCCTATTCCCTTGTTAGTTTTAGATCCATCCGTATTCCATACGAGACCGCTGAGCAAGTATTTATATATCTCCTTATTTACCTCGTTCCAGTTGACCTGAAAGAGTCTGTTGAAGGTTAGGAGGAGTGTCATGTGATCTGATCCCCTGTTTAATATAGAATCATTTACTTCATGTGTTATTCTGGTATGTTTTATATGTCCCAGTTGTTGGAAATTTCCAGTCTGTATGCGCTCATTCTGACCTCCCTCTTTATGACTAGGTCAAGGGGTGGGAGGTTTAGAATAATTTCCATAGAGGCTTGTGACTGTAGCGCTATGAATGTAATTCCCGAATAAGGGTTGCTCAGGCGCCAGTTTTGATATCGCAGTTTGCTCTGCGACCCTGTGGTACACCAGAGTGTACTCAAGGTGAACTCAGTGGAGGTAAAAATAATTCCAGGCGGTCACTGCTAGGTTGCCACTATAGTAGAATAAATAAAAATAAAACACTTATCTCCTTTACACCTCGTACCCTACGGTACCCTGAAAGAGAACGGTTAAAAACCAGCAATAAGAGAAACACAGGAACAGGTTATAAAATATATATTTACAAAAAAATAAATACAACTGCAATTAAATATGTACGGCTTCCTCCATTCGGAAAATCCATTCTTTAAAAATAAATTATTAAAACTGAAAAGCATTTAAATATTGACGGGTCCCTATATCCGGAAAATTGAATAAAAATGAATTATTAAAGTTGAAAATTATTTAAATATTGACGGATACCTATATCCGGAAAATCTAATAATTAAATTATTAAAGTTGAAAATTATTTTAATATTGACGGATCTCTATATTCGGAAAATTTAATAAATAAATTATTAAAGTTGAAAATTATTTAAATATTGACGGATCCCTATATTCGGGAAATTTAATAAATAAATTATTAAAGTTGAAAATTATTTAAATATTGACGGATCCCTGTATTCGGGAAATTTAATAAAAATAAATTAATATTATTGAAAATTATTTAAACATTTAAATATTTACGGTTTATTAGCTCAGGAGGCTAATCGGACTGGGAATCGTGAAATGCCCAGTATACGGAAAAGGTATGAAAATAAATTATTATTATTGAAAACAATTTAAATATGACCGTAATCAAATGCAAACAAATAAAAAGTGAACTCAAAATTGTCGGAGGCCCCTGGTATCTTAATACCCAAGCGATGGAAACGCGAAATTCTCGCCTATTGATAAATAAGATTTATTACACGGTGTTTTGGACGGTGACCACCACGGTCGTAGAAAATAATATTTTTGAATTTTGCCCAAAGTCTAACGAGAGCGTATGTGTGAATTTAATTTTACAGAAGCCGTCTGACTTCATTCAATAACTAATCGTGGACAGGAGAAACGGAATGATTCAAATACAGCTGAATAAAAAATATTAAAAGGAAAGAAATTCTACACGAAGTGAGGCGCGGAAATTAATTTAAACGTTGTTCTTTTCTTTTTGGAAAATTAGATACGTCGTCAGAAGAGAGCTCTCTAGCCCGAGGACAGATCGAACCTCCGAAAAAAAAAAAAAAAAAAAAAAAAAAAAAAAAAAAAAAAAAAAACAATAAATAATAAAAAAATGAAACAGGTCGAACCTCTCACTTCGATGTTAACTGGGCGGTTTTTAAAAGAAATTGGATGTAGTCATTGACAGAGAGAGCACTCGGAGTCTAGTCTATATCCAACCTCAAATAAAAAATTGCCTACGGCTTCCCACTGAGGGATGAAATAATAAATCCTGGATGAATCAAAATTCTTGATTTGTTACACGGGTGTCCCAAACTAATTGTAAATAAAAAAAAATAATAAGCGATTTCCTACCTTTAGAAAAATAAACGGGATTGATCGATGAACTAATTTACGGTACTCACGGCACTAGGTACTAACTAAGGGTGAAATGTTTTCGACTGTCGGCAATCACGAGAGAAGAGCTTACGGCGGCTGTCAAGCGAGGAGAGAGTTAATTCCTAGATGGGATTTAATTTATGCTTTTTCGGTAAAGCAAGATGGAGGATCAGTAGGCCCGAGTGGGAGGATACCACCACCACAGCTGACTGTTTACAATTCAGAAATACAAAAAATGTCCTTCTAGTCCTTGACAAATAAAAGGTAGATAATCCATACGAAATCGACTCTAAAAATGCCCATTCGGATTTCGGCAAATGTAAGAATATTTTAATCTACGAGGGTACTCGCAATTAAACGGTAATTCTTGGGAAACAGAAATACGGGGGAACTTCTACATGTCGGGCGGGAATTAATTGAAATATACATTTTTAATATGAATTAAAAATAAAATTTAGTGACTTCGTCACATCACCCTCTCTCGGTCAAAGAAAATAAAGGCGAAACTTCGTTTTGGCTTTATTTTCCCACACTCGTAGGTTCAAATTAATCGGCATGTGAAAGTAAGGGGCGGGCGGGCCGGACAAGGCGGCGTGAGGGTTTGCAATCACAACTTCGAGAAAGCACTCCTCGTAGCCCACATATAGAACAGAAAAGTATACCTCGGTTATTGCAGGCTTGACGACGGTGTCCCTCAATATCATAATTCCAGCAGGTTCCTGGGTGTACTTCTACAAAGGTAGAATTGTGTTTTCGGATACGGTTGGGAGCGGAATGAGACCTTCTGGAGAGGTCAAACGGAAAGGATGCGGGTGACTGAAAATATAGAAACATTTTAAATTAAATAGACGACTGGTCCTCCAATAGTCTTGCAGTTTGTTTAGTTTTATATTGTAACAATAGTCCAATAAATTTCAGCAGCTCTTCTTTTGTTAGATCTTTCCAGTTAGATATGCGTGACCGTTCATTACCTCCTCTAACAAGTTTTCTGCATACTTATTTGTTTCGGTTATGATATTTTTAAGAAACCCATTATCAACAAAAAGTTCTAAATATTCGTAGGGTTCGGCATCTATTGGAAGGTCGACAAGCTTTTGATTGGTTTCAGTAAAAGAAAAATTGTTGTTTCCTCCGTCGTATTATCTATAAGAAAAAAAATTAGATAGGTTAGCAAACAACTAGAAATACAGTGTTGCATTTTTAAAAAATTATTTTTTTAAAAATTTGTTTTTTTTTTATAGTTTTAATGTTAGATAAAGAGTTGCTGTTATTTTTTTGTTGAAACCCAATTTTGTCATTGTAAATGTTTTTTATAGGAACGCTTAGAACAGTGGTAGCATATATATCGTTCCTAGGGCAGATAAAGCACTTTCTAGAGATGTTGCTGTTCTACACTTTTTAGAAGATATTTCCAAATAGTCTTACTCTTTTTACTGATGGTACTGTTAGCAAAATAAAAAAGCCGAAATTAAAGGATGAGGCAATACCATGTGCATTCCCAAATCTTCCTCTATTATAACAATAAAAAATCTGTTAACTGTGTTTTATTTTGCTTCTAAAACTATATTTAGACATAATTCAAAAAATTTAGACTTACCAAATTTCATCATTTAACAAACCTTTTCGAATTTGGTCATACCTACCTAATTTGCATTTTATATAGATAAAATTAAATAATTTATCAATTAAAACATGCGAGGCTTATTTAGAAATAAATGCAACATGTGCTTTATTTGCAAATAATTAAGTTTACTTTTATTATTTTGACAAAATTATGTAAAATTCCCATAAGAAACCATGTATTTTGAACATCGCTAGCAACACCAGCGCCTTTGCGGTGAATTAAAAAAGCTCAATTAGCATTCGTTTTTTGGGACCGTATTTCGAGTATGTCGATTTGCCTCCTTATCTCTAGTCTGCATAGTTTACTATTTTGACACTATTGACGTTGACACTATTTCCACTTGGTCGACATACGCACAAAAATTCGACTCCCTTGAAATCGGTTAGAACAGAAGTAAAAGTTGGAAATGCTTTTGCCAGTTCTCCCACTTTATACACATAAATTGACAGGTTGGCAGCGGATCTCACCGAAGTGGACGCGATACATTGGCGTACAAAATTATTTTATAGATGTTAATAACAATTTCGAGTAAATAGTTTAATAAATTGTGAATAGATGTTGAAATTTTGTAAAATTATGATTTGAATATTACAATACATGTTTAATAATTATTTATAATCCATAAATACATGCGATTGTCCGGTTCCGCCGATAACAATTTAAAATTACTTATTCTATGAAACGACACTGGCAGGTAAACATTACTGCGAAATTCTCGGAGCCGCCCGACGTGGTTTGACGTTTACCCCCTCTCTACCTACCAAAAGACTTTTCAACTTTTACTTTCTCTATAGCTTTCGCTTCTGTATTAGTGTACTACGCTTGGATCTTTCTCTGCAGTAATGGCTTTCATATACTGAGAACTTCTAAATATGGTTTTTGATCCGTTCTAAACTTTTACTCCGATATTTATTTGCTGTTTTCCTCTAAGGTCTGGTGTTATCAAACCAGAGTCACTGCCTGTTTTAAAGCAACTCTTATAAATATTTCAGAAATCGAAAGGGTGTTTAAAAAAACGTTTTGCAAACGACTTCTTTCTTATTATTTAAATTAAAAATAAATGTGTGGCTTTTGGTTTTTCGCATTTATATATAAGTAGGATTATCAGAAGTTCAAAATATGTTTATAGGAATAAAAAAAAATGGTGCTATTTCTCAGTCTTTATTATATTTCTATAAATAATTACATATTTATTTAACTAAATTTAAATATTTTAAAAACGTTTCTAAAAATGCTCAAATGCTAGTATCTTTAGAAGAATTTTAAATTTTAATATTCAAAAATATATTTTTGGAAATCGCTTTTTTTAACAATTTTGTACTTAAATATTTATAGAAACGAATTAACATTTCGTTATATTTTTAACGTAAAAAAAATTGACGAAAAACGTTCATTTTCGTTTGTTAAAATTTGATGAATGTTGAATTACAAGTGAATGGATAATACTTATAATGATCCAAAGCAATATTAGATTATTATATTTCAGTTAGACTCTAAATAACTTCGGGAGTAGGTACTTCTTTGTCCTACAACTCTTTTATAAACAAATATTAAAATTGTGGGCAGGCATTTTTGAATCAATGCTTTTAAAATCTATATTTTTGTAAATAAATATTTGTAAAAACAACGAGAACATATTAGGAAAATAATTTTTAATATGAACCTTTCCCAATATACAATACGAAATTTACTCTGATTTTTCCTTAATATCGACGTTCCAGTACCACCACATTTGAACAACCAACACGAAATTCGCCAAGGTACTAGCAATGTACGTTAAAATAACAACTTTATCGCCTGTCTCCTGCGTGGAAGTAAAGATCCTGGCGAGGGACCCTGCGAACAACATTCCGAGTGTTATAGCTGATAACTGTCCTGTATGTCCGTTTTGATAATTGGTCCAACCCTGCGTCAATTTACCAAAAACCACTAAAAGTATATTGAAAGTCTGCAGTGACCACAACGTATCAATTGAAGTCATTCCTGACATCATTACGTAACATATCACGATGTATCCCACCAAAAAACCAGTAGATTGACTGCGTTTGCCTTCGTAATACAACACTAGCACCCCAACTATTAGAGTCTGTATAGCAAGGAATGTAGCGTCACCCCAAGCGCTAAATGGGAACCCTTTTACGAAACTATACGCCATATAAATGGTTATAGCGCTTAGATCTAGGATGACGGAAATGATGTTGATGCCTTTCCCACTTTGGTTCTGGTAGATTTTCAGGATCTGAGGAACTTTTACTGTGGACGAACCAAGAATTATGCCTACTCCTAAGACTTTGCTCAGACTTGACTTGAAACATGGTACTGAAAAGAAAATTCATTGTAGTCCAATCATTACTTATATTTTATTACGAAAAATACATGTTAACTTATTTTCTTTATTACAAAAAATGTTTCTAAAGTAGATCATGTTGGATAAATATAGAGATAAGAGTCATGTCCGTGATATTTACGCATGACTCTGAATTAAATGTAAACTTAAAAATAATTATACACTCCGACATACATGAATTTTTGAGGCCCACTTTAGAAAAAATTTTGTGGATCACTCCATATTAAGTTTCAAGTTTAAAAGTCGGCTATTAAAAATGATTAATTTTAAAACACGACAACAATAAATACATGGCACAACAATCTTTATACACGAAGTCAATGAGTGGTAATTTTAAAAACAGTCATAATTGGTGCAATTAATGGTGTCATAAGTATAGTACGAGCAAGAGATATAGTGTGACTTTAAAGCTTTAAAGCCAGCCGGCAACATACAAAAAAACTAAGGAGACTGATACATCACCTTTAAAAATAATAGAGGAGCATTCAAGAGGTTGAGCATACTTATTTTATTTTTACTTCCCTCGATAAAAGGGAAGTATTGTATTCGTGAAAATTCAGATTTTCACGTTTTCGGGTCCCTAGATTACGAAAAACATGTTTTCCCCATTCCGTCGGTCTGTCTGCCGTCCGCCGTCTGTTGTCTGTCTTAAGAGAAAAACTTAAAATTCTGTATGCAGGTAAGGCTTCCTCTTGGCTCAAAACCGGTTATACTTCCGGTGAGATATATACAGGGTGAGTAGTTAAAAAAAACATTTATTTTTAAAAGTCGGCAGATTTAGACTAAAATTGGTTTCTGATAAAATTGGTATCTGATCAAAGGATCATAAATTACTTTTTAAAAATTCAAAATGACTTTCCCGTTTTTACAATTTATACAGGGTGTTTTTTAATGGTATGCTAATATTGTAGGGTGTCATCCCTCAGGTCATTTTATAAATAAAAGTTCATAATATGAACATAGTCCGCAACTACTTAAATTTTTTGATGAGTAATTACTTTTATTATTTTCAATTTTAGTATGTATTAGTAGGATATAATACCACATACTTTATTCAAAAAAGTTATTCTATTGCTTTACCAGAGGTGTTTATCTTATCGTTCATCAATTAAATTAAAATTTCTTCATTTTGCAGTATTGACGATTAATTTTAATTACTTCAATCTAGAACCGAGCGGCTGGCGAGAAAAGTACAAGATATCGTATTGATGTAGAATTAACCAGTCAAATGAGTAAAAATATCAACATAGAAAAATATCAGTATCGTACTACTTTTTTGTAGAAAATATACAGATGCCATGTTTGCAGAGACGCCACTGGTAGAGCAATAAAATAAATTTTTTAATCAGAAACCAATTTTAGTCGAAATCTGCTGACTTTTGAAAATGTTTTTTTAACTGCTCACCCTGTATATATCTGACCGGAAGTATAACTGGTTTTGAGCCAAGAGGAAGCCTTACCTGCAAACAAAATTTTAAGTTTTTCTCTTAAGCTGTTTTTGAGTTATCGCGCCAACAGACAGACGGCAGACAACAGACGGCCGAATGGGAAACATATGTTTTTCGTAATTTAGGGACCCGAAAACGGGAAAATCTAAATTTTCACGATTATAATACTTCCCTTTTATCGAGGAAAGTAAAATAAAATAAGTACACTCAATCTCTTGAATGATCCTCTACTATGTTTAAAGGTGATATATCAGTCTCCTTAATTTGTTTTGTATGTTGTCGGCTGGCTTTAAAGCTTAAAGGTCTATGCCCACTACACCGGATCATACTATGACCGTGACCGTACCGGCATAGGCAGAAAAATATTCTTTGTATTCTTAAATGAGACAATGCCCACTAGACCGACCCGGCATCGACACACCATCCTCATTTGAATCTATACAAAAAAAAATCAGGTCCGGTCACGGTCATAGTATGGTACGGTATAGTGAGCATAGACCTTTAAAGTCACAATATATCTCTTGTTCGTACTATAATATTAAGTGAGTAAAGTTAAAATGTAAAATAAGTCAAACAAAACTTATTTTAAGATATAATTCACTATTAAGTGATACACAATTTAACGCAGTGATTTTATCTGTTTTTACTTATTTTTACTTAGTTTTACTTGTTTTTTAATTATTTATTTTTACTTGTTTTTAATTATTTATTTTTACTTGTTTTTAATTATTTATTTTTACTTATTTATTTTAACTTTTTTTTCTCTTATTTTTACTCATTTTCACTTATTTTTACTTATTTTTAATTATTTTTACTTATTTTTACTTATTTTTACTTATTTTTACTTACTTTTACTTACTTTTACTTATTTTTACTTATTTTTACTTATTTTTACTTATTTTTACTTATTTTTACTTATTTTTACTTATTTTTACTTATTTTTACTTATTTTTACTTATTTTTACTTATTTTTACTTATTTTTACTTATTTTTACTTATTTTTACTTATTTTTACTTATTTTTACTTATTTTTACTTATTTTTACTTATTTTTACTTATTTTTACTTATTTTTACTTATTTTTACTTATTTTTACTTATTTTTACTTATTTTTACTTATTTTTACTTATTTTTACTTATTTTTACTTATTTTTACTTATTTTTACTTATTTTTACTTATTTTTACTTATTTTTACTTATTTTTACTTATTTTTACTTATTTTTACTTATTTTTACTTATGTTTACTTGTTTACTTATTTTTACTTATTTTTACTTATTTTTACTTATTTTTACTTATTTTTACTTATTTTTACTTATTTTTACTTATTTTTACTTATTTTTACTTATTTTTACTTATTTTTACTTATTTTTACTTACTTTTACTTATTTAAATATTTAGTGAAGGAAAAATTAAAATAGGGGATTATTAAATATTGCCAACAAACAATGAATTGCCGGGATATTGCTGGCCTTTTGTTGTAATTGAAAGGAAAATAAATGCGACGATTAAAATGTAAAAGCCTACTTTTGACCTTTCAATAGTGACCAAGCATTAAGTTGTTTGATGAAGGATAAGTAACTGTATTGGGTAAAAGTCAAGTCTTTTATTACCGCCGACCTAACCATAACAATCCGTCCTGCGTTCATAGATGGACACACCGAGGATTGCTTGCTACATACTCAACGAGTGGACATGTACTATGCGGCCAGTCTCGGATTGCTGATATTCAGTATTCATTTGTAATTTCTTACTTCTACAAGTTGTTAATTTAGAATATTTTATGTATATACTTTTTTAGAAGAAAAATTTTCTCTATTATTATATGTATAGATGGATTAAATAACATGTGTACAATATTCTATATTGGTATGTTTTCAGTTTTAGTATAGAATTTATAGTTCAAACGGTACTGCTGATAAGAGGCACTATCGAATCGCCTGCGCCTGTTTGGCCATGTAACGGTGCACCGGCACACAAAAAAAAAGTTGTCAGTACTTTTGACGGGACCGGTATATTATTATGTATTTCGACCCGCTGAATCCGAATCTGAGGTCCGTTTGACCCATACACCGTCAAATTTTCGAGAAAACTTTGAAAAACTTCCGATTTTCGTCATTTTTTTCGGTTTTTCAAAGTTATCGGGTCAAACGGACCTCACATTCGGATTCAGCGGGTCAAAATACATAAAGATATACCGGTCCCGTCAAAAGTACTGACAACTTTTTTTTGTGTACCGGTGTTATAAATTCAATACAGATCCGAACCAATAAAATTTTAATTACGGTCCATATTACCCAAAAACCGTCATTGAATGGCATTATATGATACACCGCTGGATGCACGATAAAAACTTTTTTCGCATAGTGTCATAAAATAGCCAGGTCAGTCTTTAAAAAAAAAAATAAAAAATAAGTTGAGGATGGTCTGGAAAAAACGAAACATTGGATGTAAAATCTGACAGAATTTACTATAGAATAAAAAACCTCAAAAATATTTTTTGGCACTTCAAATGAAGGATAACCATAAAATGATCGAATTTCCTTTTATCGTAATATATCTCAAGAACCGGTCCTGATATTTTTGAATAATTTCCACCGCTAGATGATGTTTCTATATAAGCAACTTTTTCTCCATTTAACCGACCTTCTAACTACACATATCGCCAAAATTCTTGGACTCCCCTCGTAAATATTAAAACGAAATATTTATCATGGCTGCTTTTATGTACATTTAATCTTTATTTCACCGTTGATACGCATGTAAAATTCTTTACAAAAACAATTTCCCACAATTTTAGGTACCAATGTTTAAAAAGTGGTTCATATCGATTTTGCGTGTTTAAGTGATTGAGTTTTTCTTTGGAACTATGCCTGACAATAAAATTTCAGCATTCAGTAGAGCAAGAATAGTGGCTTTTTATGATGAGGGTCTGCCGAATCATCGAATCGCAGATATACTAGGGATTCCCCGCGCTTCAGTTATCCGAATAGTGCGTTTGTACTGAAGACGTGGGAGTGGGCGTCCTAGGGTAACAAATCCAAGAGAAGATCAGTATGTAGCAGGTTATGTACGTCGGAATCGAACCGTAACAGTCTCAGCTGCCCGAACTCATTTTAGAAGAACGTATGGTCGTTTCATTTCCAGTACCACAATACGGCGGAGACTTGCTGGGGCCAATTTACAATCTAGGAGACCATTAAGAGTATCCAGGTTACTTCCCAGACATATAGCTGCTGCTCTATAATGGGCACAGGAACACAGACTACACAGAGACTGCCTTTTAGCTCAGTGGCTAAATGTTCTTTTTTCGGACGAAACCAGATATAGTTTAATTAGTGATAGTCGGCGACACAGAGTTTGGAGAGGGCCTGGGCGACCAGAAAGACTATATTTTGCCAGAGAAGTCGTTCCATACCAAGGAGGAACAGTAATGTTTTGGGGAGGCATAATGCATGGTCGTCTTACGCAGCTTATTCCCATTCCAGACACTATGACAGAGGGGTTAGATATGTTCTAAACATTATTGAGCCTATTATTTATCCTCTCCGAAATGAAATTGGAGCCAAACAGAATTAATCCTCCTTCAGAAACTCACAGTCGCGGCCCAAGAATAATGGAACAACATTCTGAAGGATTACATTAACACCCTTATTGTTTCCATGCACAGGCGAGTTAATACCTTACTATAGAACAGGGGAGGATACACCGAATATTAATGAATTTTTAATTTCGCTCTAAAGTGGTTTTCTTCTGGATTTTAAATTCTAGCAATAATTTTATTATGCACTATTTTTCGTTTGTATTTTTTTCTTGTTCAGTTAAAATTTAATTCAGCCAATTTGTATTGGATACATAACCAAAATAAATGTATTATGTAACATACTTCTTGACTTTTAATAATAGTGTCTCATTTTGAAAAACATAAGGGGTCCAAGAATTTTGGTGATGTGTGTAGTATGGTTTGGAAGTTACCAATACAAAATTCCATTAAAAAAGTGGCCACCCTGTATACATATGAGTATTTAGAATATGTACACACATATGAGTATTTAGATTATGTATGTCTGTACATTGAAAATATCAATTAAATTATTAAATATTTTAACAAACTTGGCAGTCGCCACATTTTTAAAATATTTTATTTTATATTAAACTTTCATAAATAAAAAAGTATCTGCTACATACTCACTAAATAAATGTCTGTGAAACTAATTTAATTTTCATTTTTACTTCCTCTCACACTAAATATGCCATTTTTTAATTTTCTTCCAATTCTTAAACCCGTCTATATTATAATTTTTTTTTAAATAGTGCCTATACTTAGATACGCCTATGACAACACCTTGACGAAGAGGTGCTGGGTCTGCGAAATAACCTCCAAGTACATGCAACCAATATTTACGACGGGTAATTTGTATTGCCTAACTATTAGGGACCTGATCTGGCATAAGTGGATTATTTTAACAAAAATTTAACCTTTTCACAATAAGCAGTGAGGAAGGATAATGGGAAATAGTATGTGTTATGTGTTTAAACATGATAAAACTGGTCAAAGGTCAAAACTAAGCAAGGACACAGAACACAAGACACTTAAAAAATTAGAGACAAACGCCTGTTATGTATAATAATGGTATAATGTATTCTTGTACTGGCATATTATTTTGATCAAAATATTAGAAAAAAACGTAAAAATATGATACCTACTTACCATCTAAAAAATTTAAATCCAGAAGATAATTGTCGAAGCAATGCGGAGTTAAAACCAGCAATGATGCCGCTCTAAAATATTCGAATATTGTAGAATTCATTTTTTGAGGTTATCCCTGTCGCATAGCCGCAGACATATAACAAAAAAGTTAGATAATTAGTTGAACTTTTACTTTATAAATTCAATAATGATTGTAAACGAAATGATTCTTGTCAATATTTAATTGGTCGGTTTACTTTATTTATATTCTACAGTAAATATCAAAAGTCAATCCACGTTCGTGTTTCGTGTTCGTATTCTTGATAATGACACTGGTGACAGAAGACATGACACAAGTCTAGTTGATTTCTCAGTGCGAATGCCGAATTCTCCGAATTTAAACGAAACAATATTAAAAATGTAATGTTGCCAAATCGTGACTAAAAGCTAAAAATATTCAGAATTTTTTTTATAAAGTCAAAATGAAAATTAAACCATATTTAATTTTGTGCCACGCCAAAATCATGAAGTACATAAAAGGTAATTATGCTATTTATAGGTTTATTTTATAATTTTATTGTGTTTGGTAAAAAAAGACTAACCATTAAATTTTCTGTACTTCAACTCAAATATTTTAGAAAATTAAAATAGGTATTTGGAAATATTAGCTAAATTCATCATACTGGTTCATACCAACCTGATACTGTGATATTATTGATTTTAAAACAATCTTATTTGTTTTAATTTTGCAACTGAAGACATATACCTACTTAATAAACTTTCTCTAATTTTGATATATAGTCCCACATAACATCAATGTTCTATGAATATACCAAGAATGTTCTGTTTAAGTTCTTTTTAGTATATCCTTTTACAATGTTCTTAGAACATACCTAGAATATACTTTGAAAGTATATTCTAGAAAGTATATACTGAGTATGTGCCTTAAAAGTATATTCCAAAAAGTATATACTGAGCACGTGCTATAACAGGACATTCTTAGAAGATACTAAAAGTCATATATGCATGTACCTCATATTCTGAGAATGTTCTGAATGCTTGCAGGTAAAAATTAACACCAAATACATGTAAAAACAAGTTTATATACATATCTATATGAAATTTTCCCAGATGCCGATCTAATAATTCGCTACCAAACGCACTAATGTTGAATGTTTAGGCCAAAAAACATTCTCAAACTAAAATAGAAGAAAAGAAGGAGAATAACATAACCTACAATTCCTACAAATTTTTTTGATCTCGTTCGTCGTTTATAAAAGGTAAGTCAATTAATAAAAATTATCGTATGTTCTATATGAAAATAAACAAATTTTACTATATTTATAGTTTTTAGGACCTATAAGTGACGTTAGAATACAGGATATCCCAAATATTAATTGCCAGTGTGAATTTATTAATATAGTTAATACTAATGGTGGATTGAAACCAGTGGCGGCTCGTTATAATTTAAAAAGGGTGTTCACAATTTGTAATTCGATGCTGTATAGAAGAAAAAAAAAATATAATTTACACAATTTCGGGTACAATATTAATACCTCGATTAATACAGTGCAAAAAAGAAACGTCAAGTTTAAATTCCTAAGACCAGTACAGCCAACCTCAAAACAACGAAAATTCGGTTCACGGAACACAAAAATCCATAAAAAGTATAATTTGTAAAGGGATTTCGTGTTTAACTGAGTGTATTCTCACTTTCTTCTTTTATATATCGATAAACAAAAATACAAATATATTCATGTCCATATTTATAAACAGAACTCAGCTGACTCGGACTTGGGTAAGTCGTCCTTGAACTAAAATCAAAATTAGGTTACAACGTCTATAAAATTCCAGTTGGTTCCAGTGTCACACTGAAATTTGTTTGATTTGGTACAGTGTTGCCAGAATATGGTTTTGTTATGTACCAGATTTGTCTAAAAAATTACCAGATTCTTTAAATGTACCAGATTTTTCGAATTCTATTTGCAGTGATATCTAATTTATTGAAGAGAAAAAAGGGGGTTTTTATAGATAACGAACCCAAATAAGGAACACAATATATATATTTTACACATGAACACTGCTGCACGCAGAATGTACTATATCTAGTACAATTGTGAATTGTACTAGACTGGCAACACTGGTTTGGCAACCATCTTTGTGAGCGGCGCGCCAATTAATGTATTGTCTTCTCTTTTTAACTATATGCATTCACCAAATCGTCTTACTCGTGTTAGGCTCACTCATCATAATGCGCCACAGACACAGTATACTTAGGTATTCTGTGCCACAGAGACGCGATCAGCCAGAGGGCAATGATGTACCAAAAAATATAGATTAACACGTATGAAAATAAAAATATTAAAATTAAATTTATATTTTTAAATAATGTGTTTTTATGCAATTGAACTGGGTGTTCACTGCACAAATGAACTAATGGAGAAACCGCCTCTGATTGAAACTAAAATACAGTGTTACCAGAATTACATACACACTTTCTATGAAAAAATCCTGTAAGGCCAGATATTGATCTGGAAGAACTAGAAAAGTTAGCTAAAGTAGGACGAAAACTACAAAATGGTGGTAAGTAATTAACAAAAATATATTTAAACTTTCAGTAAACATCATAATCATTTATGTAACTCTTGTTTTTGTTAGTGGAATGCCATGTACAATTTTTAATGTTTTATATTGGACAAAAATATTTAAAATATTCCATTAGCTATGTAGATTTAATTTGTATATGTACCAAGTTTGTTATTTTTTTAAATTTTTTAGGTTCAATGAAGATCCAATGGAATCAAGCAAATAAAACTCAAGCCATTGATACAATAAAATATTGATTGGTTAAGGCCAAAGATAGTATTTGTAATAAAAATAAGTATGAATTCTTTGAAATAAAGACTCATTATATACACTTATTCTTTAATGTTCAATATTAATTAAACATCCTGTATTAAGGTGTCTAGTATATGCGTAGCATATGCTATATTTAAATACTTAGCATATACTTAGAACGTACTATCAAATTAAAGTAGATACCTGTTGCATACTGTACACATACTTGAAGTACATTCTCAGTATCTGCATAGCACGTATAAACAACGTCACGTAGCATATGCGAATATATGCATATGAGAATGTACCAAATGCAAATACAGTATATTCTCAGCATATGCGTATTCTTAAAAAGTATATACTAAGAATATGCTAAGAATGTATAATTGTTATCTGGGGTGACATTTTTTGTAATTGCAGCAAGTGTTAGAATGATTTACTTTATCCAACCAGTTGCATAAAGTGAATCATTATAAAACTGGTTACGAAAAATTAATCATGTCACCAGCTGCGAAGAAAAAACCAAATAAAAATAAATATTTTTTAGTTTTAAAATCATACATTTTTATTCAAAGTTTATATCATATGAGGGAGTGTTGGCCATAAATAAAATTTGGTTACTGAACTGACAACATAGTAATAATGTTGTTTAGCTCGCTATTTTCCATTCTAAACCGCACAAAATAATCAAAAAACAATACACGACAAAATAACCCACTTTCTTAAAAACTAAATAACTTTAACAAGCAATATAAAACAAACTTCAACAAGACGTTGAGAATATATATTGATATGATTTTCTATTTGTCAATGAAATGAATAAAGTTATGCATATGTACTTAACAATACAAGAAAGTAATATTGGTTGCATAGATGTTAGTAATTTTTTATTAAAAATAATCTTGTCAAAATTAGAAAGAATATTGTATATTATGTAAATCGTTATAAAATGCGGTTTTATGTAGTGATGCCGTGAGATGAGACGAAAAAGAGGCCTCTCTCGACTCGTAGGGCGAGATAAAACTATTCTCTCATCTCATCATTGATTGGAATATTTACTGAAATCACGATGATAACCTTTTTCGTTTAAAATTTTAATTTTAAGTAGATAAAAAACTTAAAATTAAAATTCATTTTAAATAAATGCCATGAAAAATATTTTTTCTAATAAATCATTATTGGTAATTACACACGTATTATTTGTTACCATTTAATATATAATTGAAAATTTTAAATAAGCAAAAAATAAATTGTGCGAGAGAACTCGAGAGTTCGAAAGAAACGAGAAATTCTCTCGAGAGATGACACTCTCTCGTCTCGAATCATTTTTCGAGAGAAATTATCTCTCTTGTCTCGTACGAGACGAGACAAGACGAGAGGCGAGAACCTCTCATCTTGCGGCATCACTAGTTTTATGTAACCCGTTCAGTTTGCAAGCATTTCGTAAGTGGTTGTGTAAATAGCTATTTTGTGACCAGTTATATAAAGTAGATCATTTTGACACTTAACGATTACAAGAGATGTCACTTTATATGTCAAAATTATATAAACAGTTTTTCATAATCAGAAAGATATTTTTTTCATCTTATACTCTGAAATAAAAAAGGTAATTTCAATATTTTAGAAAGATATTCTAGTTATCCTAAATTAGTAAGTATAGCCGGGTATTTGTTAAATTTGAAGATAATTGTAAGAATTCAATTAAGTTAAGATAAATGGCATCTTGACAAGGGCGTATATAGGGGGGGCAGGGGGGGGCCTTGGCCCCCCCCCTGGAATTTGAGGGTCTCTTATCTGAATCGGTACAAGCAATACAATGAGTTCACAGTCCATTCCAACGAACAAAATTTTTAAAGCTTACTGGCTATAGACAGAGTACATTGCAGTTATGGTAATACCAAAACAAGAATTAATATAATTGAATTATATTGAAAATAATGAAAATTTGTAAACAAATAACTAACTGGTACTGGTACTTAATTTAATTACCAATTAACAATAGACTCGTATAGAGGTATGCTTTGGAAGTTATCGGATAATTTTGATACATCGATATCGATCTATAATATAAATCATTACAAAGAAAATATCGATAGGTATCCGAATGTATCCATGCATACGAACATCTCTCCGTTAGCTGATGCAGCGGCAAACTGGCAAGCACGAAGCACGTGTCCAGGGGGGCTTATAACATATGCGCGTTATATCAACAGGTTAGTGCGCAACACATCCGCGCATATCAGTCCGTTTTACAATAATAAAATGATATTTAAATTTAAAGTACACTGAATAATTGAATAATTCAAATATATTTCGCTTAATAACAAAAGTAATACACGGTAAGTATTGTTTTAAAATTATATATTTATATAAATACTACAATTATTTGAAAAACATGAATTAATCAATTATTTGTACAATGTAAATCTGACTTTGGGATTGTCACCCGTTCGAAGTTCGAACCGATACAATAACAAAACTGAACAAAACAATATGGTTATGGTTGCTGAATA